AAATTATGATCACACACTCCAAATTTATTTTTGATGACCACCTGCTCTATGACTTAATTGCTATTTACAACTAACAAATCTTTTGTAGGTTCAGTGATGGTTTTGTGAAGGAATTTGTCATGTCATGTTGAGAATCATAGGCCTAAGGCCCATTATGATCATGAGAAATTATCATAATGTTCATAACTCTGAAGTTAGTTTCTCCATGGCAGCATAGTTCTTACTGGGGTTTATCTCTTTTAATATTAGCTCTCTCCCTACATATCCAGGTATGAACTTGAGCAGTTCATGGCTGACACTGAGCTGCACCAGAGAAAAGCCTCTTTTAAGTTTCTGAGTTTTATCTAGACAAGCTGTAATATCATTCATGTGAGACTGATGCACTATTTTTATTTTCCTTTCTACCACTCGTGAACAGCAGAATTTTTAATACCAGTGATGACTGTTATTCACCATGATAGCTAATTTACACTGCATATTATTTCCTACTAGTATCTGGAAGGTAGTTACAAAAACAATGGAGCCAAAGTTTTCTCAATAGTAGTAGGTGATATAACAAGGGGCAATGGCAACAAGTTAAAGTTTGGTAGGTTCAGGTTGAACTTTAGGAATTACTTTTTTACCAGAAGAGTAGAAAAGCAGCACTGGAACAGGTCCTCAGAAAGGTGGTAGTATCTCCACCCTTGGAGGGTTTCCAGACTTGGTTAGACAAAATCATGGTGACCTGATTGAGCCAGAGGCTGAATCAGAGATCTCTGGAGGTCTGCTCCCACCATGACTTCTCTGATTCCACAACATCACCTGAGATTCCCTGTAGTATACAGCCATCTACCACTCTGGCCTCACCTGCTGAACTAGACTGTCCTTTGGCTGCCAGTATTGTCTGCTGCTGCTTTTCTCATCACAATGAGTATATTCTTTCCCCTTGTTGTCTAGGCCTCTGCTCATTGATGCCTCCTTATCTGTCATCACATAGTCATTTAACTGGTTTTCATCTCCCTGAGTAGGAAAACAGATGCACAGCCCTCTCCCAGCAGCTGTAGCACCATTGAATGGCTCTCTTGAACATAACACCTACATGGTAAAGCTATAGTTACTAGCTAGCTTGGTAAGCTGCACAACTTTTCACCAGAGCTGTTCCTCATAGCCAAACTGATCCAGCATACAATGGATTGCAGCTCTGGAGACTGCAAGAGTCCCAGCTTTAGTAGGCATCTGGCAAGATTTGATTACAGAGAACTACCAAGAGTGGCTTACAGCCCTCTTGGTAAAAAAAGTCCATCACAACTGCTGTGTCAGAGCCTCTCTGCAAGCAGCAAACCACAACTCGTTTCACAGCCACAGCACGGGCTGCAGACCTGCCCCAGCCCTCAGCACACACAGCTAATGGGCAAACCTGCTGCTGAAATGCAGTTTGGGCTCTACTGGAGCAGGTAGATAAACAAATCAGAGAAAGGAGCCTTCCCTGCATTTGCCTGGGGTGAAGGAGTTGCACAGACGCTTGCTCTCTGCTTCATTGGCTGACATGAGTATGTGGGTGCCTTCTGAGAGCATGGATAATGCTAGATGAAGGGCCAGGGGAACAGAGATGAGTGCATCTCAGACTGAAGGGGAAGGCAAGGACTCACAGGGTGTGCTCTTAGGTGTGTGATCTTACCCTGGAGTGGCAGCAGGAGAGCTAGTCAGAGCAGCTGGCCATGTCTGACAGCTCAGGACTCCTGAGCATAACTTCTGCAGGAAGAATTAATATTCCTTGTGAGGCTTTTCCAAGAAGGACTGACCTGGTGAGTGAGGATAGGACTGGGATGCAAGGGGTAAGTCTGTATCAAGAACCCGTGTCTGGCCAGCACAAGCTGGATGTCAAGAGGTTGTACTGGGAGAGCTGTGGCTGGGTGTTATCGTGGTTTCCTGCGGGTGTGTATGCATGATTTTAGCTGGCCACAGCAAGGGTGAGTTGTGTTACTGTGAGGAGAGGAAACAGACCAGCAGAGAAGCAGCCATCTTCTCTCCGTGTGTTTGAAAGACAGGGAAAAGGCAGTAGTTAAAATACCATCAGAGCTCATCCATTCCCTTTATTGCAGCTAGGTTTTTTCCCCTGTGATGTTTTTTCCTGCAAAGCCAGGGCTGAATTGGCAATTGGTGGCGGCACCACACACCTGCTGGGCTGAAGGGGAGCTGGCTCATTACACTGCAGAGTTCTTTCCAGCTGAAGAAGGTTTTTGGGGGTGGGGGGGGCTGGGAGGGGAAAGAAAGAAACCAGCTTCAACCTCCAAGTCTTTCACAAAGATAAAGTATTCTAAAAAGCAAGTAGGCAGAAAGGTGGCTGCTTCCAGAGGCTGCTCGGTGGGGCCAGAGGAGATGAGCTCACATGCAGAAGTGCGGTGGGAAAGGCTGATAAAATATTGACTTAAAGAAGGACCCAGCAAAAGCTGCCCAGTCACAGGCTGGGGAGGGACGCTCCTCAACCCCAGCTGGTTGTGCCCCACTTCCCTTATGCCTCCAGGCTCCCGTGCTTGGTACAGAAAGAGTGAACGGGTTTAAGTGTTGGGGTTTTTTCCCCTTCAGCTTTGCCAGAGTGAAAGTGAAACTGCTGCCAGCCCCACCAGCCAGGCCAGGGCTTCTCCCGCACCCACAACCCCTTCAGTGAAGGTTGCCCTGTGAAAACAAGGGTCTTCCTAAAAGTGAATGTTGCTTCCAGAGGAGAGTGGTGCAGGGTGAGAAGGATCCATTGCCGGTATCCATCCCACATACAGAGTCCCTGATGCACGTGGACTGTGATGGGGGGAGGTGAACTCTGAGATCCCTACACTCAGCTTCCAGCGAGCTAGTGAGGGGCCCTGCTGTACCTCCTGGTTCATGGTCACTCTGTGGCTCTCCAGTGGGATCAGCATCACCCTGCTGCTTAGAGGACCCCACTGTGGAAGTTGGGACAAGAAGAGGATTCCTATGAGTAAGGAGGGAACATTGCTGGCTACCAGGTGGCCAAAAATCCACGTGGTTGTGGTATCACTTAGACTACAAGAAGTGAGCATGGGAGATGAGGGATGTACAGCAGTTTGGTGTCCACCCTGCTGCACCAGGCTCAGCACATCATCCAGCTGCATATGGCCAGGGAGGAATGGAAGTGCCTGGGGGCAACAGGAGTCCCATGTCCGCAGGCACTGAAATTTTGCCCTGCACCCTATCCCATCGCTCCCAACATTCAACTGTCAGAGGCAGCTCACTTTCTCTCCCTTGTGGACAGACTTTTGTACTCTGTTATCAATAGATCAATTCTCTGTTTATCTCCTCCAGAGCCTCCAAGAGTTCATGTCATTCCAGCAGTGTTGTCATTTGAGAGATATGTAATGACTATTCTGACCTGCAACAATGCAAAAATTCCTCTCTCAAATGCATGTTTCTCCAGCCACTGGCAAAGCTGAGATGGCACCTACAGTGTCACCTCCTACCTCAGCATCAGCTCAGCCCCAGCACAGACACCAGCCACCTACAGCTGCCTTTTTTCACACTTGGCCCTGGCAGAGCCCATCTCTGTGAGTGCCCATCTTAAGGCACCAGGTAGGTGCCAGGGGAAAAGGGGCAAGTTCTTCATCCTGCCTAGACCTCCTCACATCTCATCTACCCACCACAGGGATCAAAACCTCTCCCTGGTTCCCCATGCTTTCTTTCCGGTGTCCTCTCATACCCATTCTCTCTGTCCTCCTCTTCCCCTTTCCCTTTCACTTCTTCAGCTTTTATTTCACTTCCTGAAGTTTTGAGGGAGCAAATATCTCATTTCCTTCAGGGGAAAAGAGATTTCATGACTGAAAGTGGAGCAACAGAAGTCTATAGCAAGTGGGCTGGACCCCACTGAAGAGGCACAAGAAAACAGCCATGCCCAAGGAGTTAGACACTCAGCTGGACTCAATATTCTGTTCAAGCCTGATGCTACTAGAGAAATATAGCCAAAAATGCTTCCCCTATTGGAGCCGTTGGGGTTCTCACTCTCCTTGCTGATAGGAGATTGCTCCTGTGCCTCCTCCTGACACAGCAGGGAAAAGCAAGCCATACTTGCAGTTTAACGAGTTATGACACATCAGTCCAGCCAGTATAACTGGCCCTGGGTCTGTGTGGCTTTGGCTCACTTGTGTCACGTTACATCTGTGTACCTGACAAGAGCATGCACGCAGTTGCTAGGGAAGTTTAACTGTGACAACTCGCTGGTTGTTCAGCTGCTCCAGCCAACCCAACATCACTGGACCTCCTCTTCCTCTGCAGAGCAAAGGAGATTGCAAGGATAGGTGAGGGGTTTAATTGCTACCATCACCTTCATCATTGTCATCTTCATTGTGCTCAGGAAAAGAGCAGGTGAGAGTTTAAAATCCTGAGCCACATCCCTCGCGGATGAGATGCAGAAAGGAGCATCTTCCTCTCCTCTGCACCTCCGCTTAGGAGGGATGGAGGGCAGGACATCCTAGGATCCTGCAGGGAGAGGGAGGGAGTGTATGAGCTGGAGACTCATTTCTGGTGAAAGGCAACACAAGGTGATGTTTTGCATTGTTTTGGTCTTCCTGCATCTTACTTTGTTGTTTTTTTCCTTTCTCCTTTTCAGCTAAACCAAAATCTTAGCAAATTCTAAGGGCTTCAAAACAAAGGAAACCTTTGTGTCACTCACCTTTGTTTCCTGTCCCTTGACACATCCTTCTCAGGAAAGCCAGCCCTGTCCAAATATTAATAGAGTCCTTGGTTGGTATGGGAGGGGTAGGGCTGCCCCTGGTGGAGGATCTGAGTGACCATTCGGGGTGGACTCACAGGGAAACACAACTTCATCCAGGGAGGGCAACATGAACAGCCTCAACTCTGACATTTTTAGAAATGCCTCTTCCCTGGTTTCAGAGAAAATTAAATTGTATATAGGTGAGTGTTTGTATGACTGCATATATGCATGTGTGTATACAGGTACATGTATGTATGTGTACATGTTGGAAGTAGATATACAACATGTATGTGGGTGTGTATCTGTAGCTATATATAAGTACATTTGGTTAATGCCTACAAGGCAGGTGTTTAAGTAAGATATTTATGTGTATAAGCATTTTATGTGTGAAGTTGGGCATATAAGTAGGCAAAATTGGTATTTCAAAATGGTGAATCCTCAGGTGGGGGAAGTTATGGGCAAATCAAGCAATCAGAGAAATATGACTCTCCAGGAGAAAGCTACAATAAAAATTTTAATAGATATTTCACTGCTAGAAGTTTACAAAATGGAGAAGATCTGTGGTTCTGTAGTTGTGAAAAGAACAGACATGATTAAATGTACCTTTCCTGCCTAACGGGGAATTTAAAGGTTAACACTTCAAAATTCCCTGTATAAAATCAACAGGGGAAAAAAAAAGCAGAAGGAAGGGGTGGATGCAAAGGAGGTATATGGCACACAATAAAAGTGAGAATTTATGAAGCATACAAGGTGATAAGGAGTGTTCAAAACAATCTGGAAAAACTGGGTTGCTGCAAGTCCTAACGGCACTTGGAAGCAGTTTTTTTCAAAACATTCTGAAAACTAAAAAATACTAGTAACAGCTTAGGCTCTTACTGGGTGGATATGGGTAAAACTGTTGATAATGAAGATTTTTGGTGAAGGCTTTTTGATGCAGAGAAAGTACTTGTTTGTATACAGAAAGAAACGGATTTGTGTATTTCTACTACATAAGGATAGTAAACAACTTCCTCATCTGTTTGCAAACTAAGGAAAGTTTTAACAGCATCTATTAAGCATAAATATTTTCAGATCAGGAGCCAGGAAAATTTGCATCTCAGAATCATAGAAAATTTGGCTGAGAAGGCACTTGGCCCAATGGATTTAGGTATTTAAAAATCCTGGCATACTAGAGAAATCCCAAGATTCCCAACTTCTCCCATACTTGAAAAGTTCCCAATCTTGGAAGACTATGTGGTGCCACTGCTCAGAGAGAGAAAGTTATATGACACCTGACTGTTAGATGGTTCTGTAGTAATAATCATAGGTAAGAGAGCATGAAGTTATTACAAGTCAGCTAACAGATGTTTAAACAATTAAAATAATATGAACAACTTAGTATTCAAAAAAAAAGAAACCATTGTGGGAAACAAACCTGACTTTATTCTTTGACAAAATAATACATTTGGTTCATGAAAGCACTGGTGCAGATTAAACAAACCAAGAAATTTGTAAATTCTAAGGAAGAAATTAATAGTGTGTGAATAGACCGTAATTTGCATTATATGGATTAATTGCTAGCTAACAGACAAAAATACATGGTCCAAAAAAAGCAGCAATCACTGCAGACAATGTGTGCCTCTCTGCAACAACTGTGCTGTTTAGTATTTGCAGCAGGAGATACAACTGTAAAAAATATTGTTGATAAAATTTGCAAATGGCAAGGTCAGCAGCTAAAGAAGAGGGAATCCTTCAGATGAGCACAAGCCACCTGAACAGATGAAGGTACTCAAACAAGAGCAGATGCTCAGTAATGTTAGTGGAGTCTCCTCAGGTCCTGGACCACCATGCTGCCTCAATGCTGTCAATCCATGAATCCATTTGAGTTGTCTGACCTGTGGGAACACCTAAGAGCAACTACGGGCAGAGTGTAACTGCTGGTGGAAGCAGTTTTTGCTTGTATCTTTTCCTCTTCATTTTTGATGCATTACCAATAAATTTTTAGTTCCAATGGTTGCCTTCTGTCTGTGCACCTCCCACACCACTCTGTGGAGTCAAGCCTACTGCAGGGCTCCAGGGCCAGTGAACAGGTTGGCTGAGCCCACAGAGAGGGGGGAACCACCCAGGATTCAGGAAGGGGAGTTCCAAGGGACCCTTGGTGTCAATACCAGTCCCCTTGCTCCCAGAGGCTGCTATTCTGGGTCAGGACTCACGGAAGCTTTTTTGACTGCCTGCTGGATTTGGACACACCCAGATAACAGGTGGGTATGTGACAGCTGGCTCCCATGCAGCCAGCAAGGAAGGACAAGCTGACAAGAGCAGGAACCTCATTGGCAACCACTGGAGAAGTCACGGTCCCCTGTGACTGACGATGCGAAATTGGAAGCCCAGCAAAGCCTGGAGCTGCAACACCCACTGACTGAGCAGCCACCCACGGGGTTTTTTATTATATTGAAAGCCTGGAGATGGTCCAGAGCAAAAGGACAGGACCAATTAGTAAGATCAAAAAACACCTCACAGTGGGCACTCTGAGGCATTACTCTGGTCTCATTAAACCAGTGTCTCTCAATTGCCCCACAGAAAATACAGAGTACTGGTGGCACCGTCACCTGCAGAGAAAGGCACAATGAGAATCAACAGCTGCAAGTCATGTTTAGGCACATTCAGAGTAGAATAATAATAATAGTAATTATAGTAATATACTCAATGGTGAGGATGATTGTCCTACCCATCAGTCAATAAAAGGGGTTGACTACCTTTCAAGGTCTTCCAATAAAGGTCACAATCATTTTTTCAAGCTGTCCTTTAATAATATTTTTTTTAAGAAGTTAATGGCATCAGTTAAAAGAGACACTGGATCAAATTCCAAGGCCTGTGTTACACATGAAATGAGAGCTGGTGGTTTGTCTGCCTTTTTGGCCCATAAACTGATATGGAAGGAAGGAAAAATAATGGACAGATGGAACAAACGTATTAGGAGTGGCCATATTCCTCATAAAGAGAAATATATTATGGCACTTGATTTTACTTGACTCCCTACTCTCTGATGCTCCCCACTGGAGCCCACAATTGGTGTGTCCTTGAAGGTCTCAAACTGAATTTAAACCACAAAAACTAATAAAGCAGCTACCCTAAAGCAGAAAAAGTAATACTTACCTGTAGACAAGGTGATCTGGTGTTTAACAACAATGCTCCTCCTTACATTTTAAATATAAAACACTTACTAGAGAAAATGCCACCAAGTCTAAAAGTGCATCAAATACAAACTTGATTGCATTAGAAAGACAGGGATAAGTAATATTAGATGTTCTGCTTCCCTGAGAGACAGCCATTCTGCCTCCCAAGGTCAAATGTGCCATGGCCAAGTGCCACATGGCATCGCTGCCTGGCCACGTGAATTGAGAAGCAGTAGCCTAGTCATCATCTGATTAGCTGCTGGGCAGACCAACCTGTTACAAGGAATACTGCGTCAACACACATAAATATTAAATGTAGGCATTTTAAACTAGCTCTTTAGGAGAATTGTTTGACATAAGACATGAAATTTTATACACATTTTGTCAATCTGCAAAACACAAGATTAAGCTCTTTGCACTTTGGCCAACAAAGATTACTTAGAGGTGTGGATGCATTGTACTGTGGATTTGGACAAAACCAAAACTTCTAAGCTGATCTTGAAAGAGCAGATATTTTGCAAAGAATAAAGCCAAGCTCAAGATTATCTTTTCCCCATACGTTCCCCTTGTTTGGTTACGCCTCTGCTCATTCAGTTTAAGCTAGAAAAATAGATCCAGTAGTCTAACTATGTCAGTTTGGAAGCATTTTATGAACATAGCTGAAGCCCAGCTGCTATGTGGCTCCCAGAGAGCATGCACTAACTAGAGGTAAAGCTTTTAAATAAACTGTGTTTGCTTCAGCCTCACACTATATCATAATCACACATTCTGCAGCACTTCCAAAGCAACCACGGACACTGCTTCTCTAGCGCAGGTACCACAGCACAGGCACCTCGTTCAGCTGAAGCCCTTTCCTGGAATGTGGCAAGACATAGGACATGAGAGGCTCCTCTCAACCCCTAAGGTCAGTGTGCCAGCCCTTCCAGCCATGCATCTGCTACCTACGGGTCATTGCAATTCAATGTAAGTGGCCCTATTGCAAGGCACCACAGGAAAGACAAAGCTTACCAAGGATTGCTTTTTAAACCATAGGGAGATGTCATTCTTGAAACATGTGAGAATGATTCCATGCAGCCTGGCAGGCTGGATGCAGCTCTGAGCAAACTGGTCTAGTGGAAGTTGTCCCTGCCCATGGCAGGGGGTTGGAACAAGATGATCTTTAAGGTCCCTTCCAACGCGAACTGTTCTGTGAATCTGTGACATTTCTGAAAATGTCACAAGCCCTGAGAGCTGTGCTCACCCTCATATATAATTGCCAAGTTCATCACAGATCAGACTGGGAAGAGCCCTTTTTTTGGGATCTGAAGTGTTACAATGATACAGCTCTCTACAGTGGGGAAAGCTGTCTTCTAGAAAGCTGGTTCCCCCCTTGGTGCCCTATGCTCAGGCTGAGACACTTCAAATTTCACCTGTGACCCTCAGCCTCTTGCATACTCATAGTGAAGTGCCAAATGCACAAGAATCATTCAAAGACAAAACCCCTCTCCCACCATTCATCAGGCAATGACAGACAGTATCTCATTCAAGCCTAGATACAGATTTCCACATGGGCCATAGACAGCTCTGCAGCTGTACATTTCTCCCACATCAGAAGCTTGAAGCAGCAATCTCCTTGCGTGAGCTCACCATCAGGGTCCTCAGTTGTGTCAGCCCAGTGAGCAGAGATGGATCACACATACAAGCAGTAAAATGACTCCCACATGCCTGCAGCTTCTTGAAAACCCACAGACATCAGGCAGTTCTTCCCAAGAGCTGGATATCTCTTTTCATAGAAGGTAATCTCAGCTATACAATGGCTGCTTCTCCTCCCTAGCACTGCTTGTGGGAACACTGCCTCAAGGCATCTCTCTGTGAAGAGTATGAAATGCTGACCAAAGACACGTCCTAACTAGTGCTACACTTTTGCTTTTCTTAGTAACAGCAATATTCTGCATTGACCACTTTCTCTGATGTGTCCTTCATCTGGACTTCAGTGACATGAGCAATGATAAGCTACAATGGACAATGAAGTGCCTGTAACCTTCCACATTCTCCTAAAAAAAAAGCCAAAAAAACCAACAACCAACTAAACAAAACAAAACAAAAAAACCAAAAACAAACAAACAAAAAACAAAACCAAAAAAACAACCAACCACAAGAAAGGAGAACGAAGAAAAGGGAAATGGGCAAAGGAAAAATAATTGGGCTTTTATTTTCTGAAAGCCTCTAGCTCTATTACGACAACCCCTAATTTGTGTCTCAGGCAAAAGCATGGACTCCCGCTTCCCTCCAGAGCATGATGTGTCACACTAAGTGAGTCCAGCTCCTCCACACTGCCAAAACATGCTCCTCCTCCCAGATCAGTTGAAAATTCAGCTTCTCCCAGCACACAGAATGGTGGGTTCCCGTGCATCTCCTTCAGTGAGTGATGATCAGATGCTGAAATATGGCAGATGCTCCTTCTGGATGAAAAATTAACTGAGAAGTTCAAAAAGTCCATCTGGAGTGGAGAGGGTTGATTTCAGCCTCCAGGACCAGCAGCAGCTGCCAGTAGTCCCCAGTGTGGAGAGACAGAAGAGAAATGAGGACCACCCCCACCCATGTCCCTAGGGAGATGCAATGGTTGCAGCATTGGGAGCTCCTTCTCCTAAATCAGGAAAGGAGAAAGGAGAAGGTCACAAGCAGCAGCTTTATTTCTGGTGCTGACACAAACACACCCCTCTGTCACTGCTACTGTCCCCTTCACCACTAGCTGGGTCAAAGTGCCTGGATCACAACATCCCTTATGTCCCGCAGCAAGAGCCAACCACTCCACAGATCCCAGCTGGCTCCAGTGCTACCAGGCAACATTCATCCAAACATGCATCCAAATCCTCAGGAGGTGGACCAGAGCACACACCTCCCTCAGACTGACAGATGACAGTATGGATTTCACAGCCTGCTGGGCACCCTGGAGTGGTGTGCCAGGCTGCTCCAGACTCTCTTAGACTCTAGCTGTACTTATCTCTCATCTTTTAATTCATATTATCTTCATCTGAAGCCCAAACAAGTCCCAGAAACCCTTCCATCACCTGGCCCTGGACAAACTGGCCACCTGCAGTGGCATCACATTCACCCCTTTCCCCTCCTCAGGTACCGTGTTGGTGGTAAACATTGGGTTACACGCTGCTTGGAGCAGTTCAGCTATTTTACTCCTGGGATCCTTTAAGACTCTTGGACAAATGCCATTGCTTCCAGCGAGTTGTTACTGTTCACTTTGTCAGTGTGTTAACAGCCTTTTCCACAGCTGCTTCAATTTCAGACATGTCCATTGGCAAGCCCCACCCTGCCGAAGAATGGGTTCTGCCACACTGATCTCGTCACTCAATGCTCAGCACAGCTCCAGAGGTGTCTGCAATGGCCTTATATCTGCTGGGAGCTCCTCACACAGCCTGATCGCTGTTTTGCCCTTCAGAACATCTGGCAGGTGCCTGATGTGTCTCAAGAGAGATCTAATATTAGCTTTGATTCCTTTTGCTAGTTGTTCCTTGAAGCTTTGTTTGACCTGACTTGCTGCCTTTCTATATGCAACATACCAAAGTTCACATCCTTCTCTAATTTTCCAGTTGTAGACAGCTCCAGCTTTTTTTGATAGATGATTTTTTTGTACCTTCCCTTACCGCACTGAACAATGGTTTATGTGTCCCACAAAAAAGGTGTTCACCCCATTTTTCATGAGCATGCCCAGTTAGTAAGGAGGGCAAAGGGTGACAGAGAGTGAATTCAGGGGATGAAGATGAAAATATAAAAAGGCACAGCAAAGGAAGGAAAAATTACTGCAAAGGCAGGAAAGGCGGTACATCACTGTTTTAATAGTTTATGGACTAAATTCAGCCTCCTATGCTGCAAACTGTCTTGCTTGTGTCATCTTCTGGGAGATATGTAACTTGCCAGCACATATTTCAGTGTCACTGGGCAATGCAGGCCTTCCCACCACAGCTGGGTGCAGTTCACTGAGAAGGAGGGCACGGTTTCCTTCTCCTTTTTTTAGTACCTTTACTAGTGTTCTTTCCATTCATGTCCCTCTACTTCCCCTGGTTTCAAATGTATTTTTGACCATGTTCTTTTCCCCCTTTTTCAAACACTTCTGAAGTCCCAGGTTTGCTTAGTATTGATTTCTTTATGAATTGCTTTTTTGCCCTTCTTTTTTACTTTTGTACATACCTAAATCATCCTCACAGACCTGCCCTCCCAAGAAATACCATCGAGACCTTATTAAGTCCTTAGCACAAAAGATCAATTGCCTCAGCTGATAAATATGCACAGCCTCATACCAGAAGGCAAATACTTTGAGATTCTTTACTGGCAGAGGATTTGGAAGGCAAAAGGCCCTGGACTCCTTGAAGTGGACTGTTTTTCAAGTTACAGGGGAAGATTGTTTCTCTAAAAACACAACCTATGTTTTTTACTTGCTG